AGTGCCTGGAGTTAAGCGCTATCCAAAAGGTATCTTCACGCATGTGTAGTTTTACTCACGGTGGAAGAGAATTACATGCCTGTCTTATGAGAATTTCCTGGTCAAACGCAATCCAATATATTTCCTCCAATTCGGTACTGGGAGAAATTAGGTGACTGGAGTCCACGCCACCACGACGATGATAGATCTTGTAGTCTAAATAGATGGCTTGACCAAGTTCTCATTCAAATAGAGTTTTGTGATCCTTTTGGTCGTCTTAAGGCGAATCAATTGGTTGGATATATGCGGACCTTGGAGAAAGAGATCGATGATGCGGCGCTGCGGGTAACTAACCTGGCGGAGGCCCTTCGTAAGTCTGCTGCGGCCACTCACGATCTGCTGGGCAAAGTTGAGCGGGCTATCCACTCCTTCCCGCCATCATGTCAGTACATACCACAGGTGCGTGGACGGTGACCGTTCATTGTTTGAAAACTTGAACTGCCTCGAAGTATAATATCCTTCTTCCTTGTGAATTAGTAATTTGTCTTTTCTTCGACGTAGGTAATCATGAGGTTCTTCCCGAACCGCAGTTTCTACCAGTCGGTTCATGCTTTATGAAATTTATTCACTTTATTGGGATTAAACTGCAACAGGGGTATAGTGAGGTCTGCTGTGCACACTGAAGTCAACCTGGCTGCCTCGGATTGCAATCCAAATGCCTGGGCTTGAATTCATCATGTCACTGTCTTTCCCGGTTTTTAAACACTGAAAAGCTCATTTTAACGCTATGTGCATTGGACTTCATGGGGACATTCGCCACCTTTCATCGTTTCTCTGTGGACGGCGTGGTCTCAATGAAACTATATCTTACCTTAAGTGTTACTTTCCTTATAGACTATCCGCTCGGCCATGTCTACCCGCCTTTCAAACTCGGATTTGGCCGGTTTACAGTGCTACAATGGTAGCCTCATTAACGTCTTGCAATTTTCGCAGGCCGAGCACGAGCGCAGTCTGGCTGTAGTACAACAGCTTAACCTAATCGCCGGACCCGCACTCCTCCACCGCTACCTCCCGTCTCTTATTGGCAAGGTCGCTGAGGGTATGCCACCGCATTGTTCCCCCATCCCCCTAAGCAGCTCCTTTGGAAGCAACTAAATATTCGTGCCTTCCTCTTTTTCTGCAAACATACGCATTTGCTATCATAGTGGAGAGTCTCCAAGAGCTGTTACAATTGCCCGCGTTTCACTTGCCATTCTCGTGCCGACACAAATATTTTTTTAAAATGCGCCTTGTTACCACAGTTTACAATTTGCTGATGTTGGGTTCCAACCATTTTTAGAATATTTGGGAGCCACGTCTGGGCACTAATGGGCCTGATGATCTTTTTTGCCATCGTGGCCGAAAATCCCTTCTCACGTTCACCTTAAACTTCCACCAAACTTGACCTGAAGGGCGTTGCCTTTTGGCATTTGTCACAGATAAGTTGCGCGTAATGGCTTACTTTTCCTCATCCCCAAAGGTTAGCGTGGGCATGACCTGCGGTTTATCGTAAGACTTTCCGTTTTCAGGGTAAGGCGCATCTGTGTGCTGCTTCGTTTGCAATACCTAAGATAGATTATGTCGGTCGAATTTCCTTCCTCGGTTTTTTGTGTTTTAATTGATAACCAATCACATTTCGTTGTCGAAACCAGTTTTTTGGCACTGCAGGTAGTAGAATGCGTTCGGAGCTGTTTGACGACGTAAAGGGACTTCAGCAGGACGGGCCTTCCATCTCTTCTCTCCTTCCTGGTCTCTTGGATGGGCCCGTCAGACGAAAACCCGGCACGCTTCGATCCGGCCTGTCAAGTAAACTTCTCTTTTCTGGTAGACCACTCCGTTATGCTCGCAGCGAGTATTTGATCCCTTACCTTTATTGCCTTGTTATCTGACGCCATTTGTTTAGTGGATGTGTTCAAATGCATTAACTACTTTAAAATGACATATGGAAACATGTTACATGTAATTGGACCTTGGTTACTTCAAATCATCCAATATTTGGCGAATACTGTACTTACGCAGACGTGTTCCATGTTCTGGGATTTATAGACGATTGGAACTAGTAATAATGCATTGCAGAGGGACAATTCAGATTCCGTTATGCATAGTCCTATCGATTATGCTGTGTTGGCTTTATTCAACTCTCCATTGATCGGTATACCCAACCTCTAGCTTCAGCGGCTGAATCGAAGCGCGGTTTGGGTGTGAAGAAACCCGTATCGCGAATCCGTCAAGCATCAACTGCCACATCCCATCAGCAGCAGCATCGACAAAAGTCGACGTCCGGACCAAGTGGGCCGACCTCAAAGAACCCGTGGGTGAGCTACGTTGCCCCAATGGGTTGTAACCATGTGCCGGAGGAGTACCTCAACATGCTCGAGACGGCAGCACCTCAAGTCACTGCCACTCTTGCCTCGGTGGAGGCGGCTAATCCTTCTTGTTCTATCTTTCCTGTCTCAGACACCGCCCATGTCGGCGATGTAACTCCTCCCTCTGCTACTGACTTCGCTAATCACGGACCCGTCGCCCCACGCACCGTCATTCGGCCTACTCGCGTTCCTCGTCCCATTTCCAATATGGGTATCGAGACTGAAGAAATGCCCCCTTGCCACAGTCGACCCCTCGTCCGACATCATCACGTTCCCGTTTCCTCCAGAGGTACATTCATCTTACCACTTCGCAGTTGTATGGGGTTGTGTGGCTCAAGTGGCTCACTTTCGATTGGTTTGAATTGATATTAC